AAGGCATGGAGCTGACAGCTGCTGAAGCAGGTTCCACCCCATCTTTTCCTGAGAAAGCAAGGCCTCCAGGGCAGGGCCTGGACTCCACAGCAAAGAAGAATAGGGCGAGGGAACCTTGCAAGATCTCAGTGAAACCCAGATGACTCATCAGAAAGTAAAACGTTTCTATTTTGGCAAGAGGCTGAAATAGCAGCTCTGGGTTGTGCTGCAGCACAGCAACAAATGACCCTAAGTGCCCGGGACAAACTCCTGTGCACACTGACATTCCTAACAGCAGGGGCTATTTCACATCTCATTAAGCAAAGGCGTTTACATGACAATTAACACATTAATTAGTAGCATCTTTTTCACAGGTGAAACTTTGGCTTGAGATTTCAACATTTTCAGACAACTGCTCTGTGAGTCAAAATTAAGGAATAGTTTATTATGACTCAAGGTGACAAGGACTTACAGGCAGAACTGGCATAGGAGTAGGTACTGAAGGACACTGCAACCTGGCGATGGTCTTTCCCATAACCTGCACGGAAGGAGGGCCTCCTTGGACACTCAAAGCCCAGCCCTTGGCATGGGCAAGGTGGCAGGCTGGCCACCTCACGAGCTGACCATAAACAAGCCTAATATGCCACAAAGTCACACGGGGACAAAGCAAGGCCTGGACCACCAGGAGCAGTAGCAACCACTTCTCAGCCCCAGCCACTGGCCTGTGTGGCTCCCCGCTACAAAAATCCCTTTGACTGTATTTGTAGAGACATAACAACACACAGCAACCCTGCTAATTTCACTGAAAATAGGCATCAGTTTCAAGGGAATGTTTACTGCCCTACAGCTTCACATACCTAGATACAAGTTAATAGTTTCTACCAGAGACCACTTTAAAGAAGGGTTGGCACTATTAAGCTGCATGAATATTTCTCTCTGAGGTTTTTGTTCAATACCATCTTTAATTTCTGTTATCTTTTGAGATAATGGATTTACAAGCATACAAGAAGATGTAGAGTACTGGAAGTTGAATGAAAGGAATTAAAAATTGGAAACTGGAACTTGCAGCTTTCAAGATCAGATGGATTCTGATAGTCATTGGGTCCATTCCCTATCAAATGGATGTTACCAACCCACAGGATATAGTGGCATGCTTTGTATACATTATCTTTCACTTCCCTCAGGTACATACTGCAAGGAAGCTGTGTTCTAAACAATGTATAAACTAATAAAAACACACTGATATTTTACATGTTTTGGCACTCAAAGCATAGATAAATTATATGTATATATAGTATATGTATAAACTAATAAAAACTAATATTTTACATGTTTTGGCACTCAAAGCATAGATAAATCACTGTGTCATAGCCTCACCTATGATACCACTTATAAAATAAATCCAAGCTCAGGAGGAGCACCAGATAACTTGTCCTTTAATTATCTTTTAAAAGCTGATGGTTTGTTTCAAAATATGATTTATTTATTTTATTTATCAGCCTGCCTTGTTTCAAATGGGTACTGTCTGACTGACCTCTAGATACCCTTGCATTTGCTCTGTGATATCCCCAGAATGTCAATGCTTTGATTCTTCATCTTTCATTTCCCAAACATTTCTTATTGGTCACTTCTGGTAGTGGTGGCAGCTGAAGTGGAAGTTTATCTTCTGATAATCTGTACTGCTTTAATGGTTCCCAGCATCCTGAGGATATTTTCCAAGTGTTATGGTGACACCAGCTGAGATCTTGGCAATAGAAAAGTGTTTCACATGTTTATTTTCTAACTTAGTCTCCTGTGGTTTTTTCTGTTTCCCCAAACCTCTGCCACCCCCTTGATTTCTATGGCTTAGCACCTTTTGTTATTACTGTATTCTTAGTGATCACTTCTCAATATCTTTCTGATTAAAAAGCCTTTGAGAAAGCTGAGGGCATTCCCACTATGCATCCAAAAATATCTTAATAAATTTCTCCAAACCTTCAAATCACATTTGTCTAAAAGCTGAGCAAAAATCCCCTCTAAAAGGAACAACAATAGTCATATCTTTTTATATATTTCTCTGTAAACTAGAGTCTAGTAACTGTAGCACGTAAACCTTGTAAAATGATGAGCATGTTTCAAACAGTTCTAATACAAAACATGATATATAAAACAGGTCACTGGTTTTAGCATGTCTCCAAAATAACATATGCTTGGAAAAGCTTATCCTTGTAGCATCACTATCCTCTTTTTTCCATGAGACAATGAATCATGCAGAAGCATGCCTGAAAAAGCAAAATTCTCATAGAATTTCTATCACTCAGTGTGTTCATGACTTTTATACAGCTGACTGAACATTTATTATCTCACGTGAAAGAGAAGCTGTGAGTTTGCTCACCTTTGTCACCTGCAGGATCTTTGAAATGCCTCCTCTCCTGTTTCTTCCAAAGAGTACGTTCCCGCATCTCCCAGTCCACTCCCGAGTCCACTGAACATGCAGACATCAATAAGTTCTGGCTAAGTTATCCTACGTAACTCTGAAGAAAAAAGGACAGACTTGCAGATGCTGCAGAAGGTCTTCTTTACTCTCTTTGAAAATTTTGTTTTCTTGGTGGTCTGTCACAGTCAGGTCTCCGGTAGTAAACTGAACAACCTATCCTCCTGGCTCTTCTTTTCTTCTTTTTCTTTTCTGTAAACACATAATCAGGGCTTCAAATCCTTTAGGCATCACAAACTGTATTTCTCTATTGCCCTCTACTGACTGCTGGCTCACTCCGCCTTCCCGGAGAAGCGGCGAGCAACAGATACGCGGTACGCGCTCCCCGCCGCCCTCCCCCGGATCGATAATGATACACGATGGCCAAAAGTCAACACAAATCATTCTATTTTTTCCTTTGTTACAAAACACCAGGCAAGATTTACGGCCTGCTGGCCAGCCGTGGTAGCTACAAAGCGCTAAACAACAGAAGCGGGAAGCAGTTTGTAACACGGCTCTGCTAACGTGGGCTTTTTTTTTTTTTTTGGTGAACAAAAGCCAGGAAAAAGTAGAGACGAATGCGTTCTGCCTTGAAATGCGGATGAATTCATGCCACTGATGGCATAAATACTGTGCCGGGGATCTGAGGGTTGTCTGGTTTTAAGGGTTTGGTCCTGCCAGCACTGGATGCACAGAAATACTGCCTTTTGATGGGAGTTCTGCAGGAAGGGGCTGGTAGAGAGCCATGAATTTGAGGCCATGGTTTTTGGCCATTTCCCCCTTGTCTCCAGTGCTTTGTTTAGCACATTCAGCACCGCACCTAACATGGGAAAGCCTCATGTGACGGGACCCGGGATGAGGCACATTGCCCTGTGTGTGGATGGCACTGGGAGTGGCTGTCTGCCCTGCTTGTTGGAGAAAGATGATCCATAATGCAAAGAGAATCCGGCAAACTAAGATGAAAAAAAAAAAAAAAGAATGACCCAGTGTTGTCTCAGGAGCAGAAGGAGAAAAAAGTGTAAAAGCATTTCAGACAGAATGGAAGACACTGAGGGAGAAAAAGCAGGGATAATAAGGAGTGTAAAAGTAATGGGGGGGGGGCGAATATAAATGAATCCTTTGCATTGTGTTAGTCACTGCTTAATAAATACAGCACGTGCTGGTTAATCAGGTGGCTCAGGCACTTGTTCTCACAAGAAAAAGTTAATCCACGGTGCTGGTGCAGATGCTCTGGCCCACCTGCACCACTCCAGGGGCAGGGAGGAGTCAGGTCCCAGCTCCAGGCAAAAGAAGAATCCCGAGCACATTTCCCTTTATCTAGGCAGAAGCTGGGAAAGCGCTATCTTGCCTCCCCATTCTTCCTCCACAACCAATTTCCCTAGGGAATAAACGTGTTTTAAAAATTATAGATGCAGACCCACCCCTCAAAAAAGCATTGGAATCATTTTTGTTTACATGCGTTCAAAAAGTACTTTCATTTTCCCTCGCCAGTATTAATAAATGGGAATACTTCATTTGCCAAAAAATCTGTAGACTGATGGACACTGATTGTGTTTTGAATAGATATTACATGACATCTCTGCTCTTCCACTCAGAAAAGGTAGGAGCTCGCTCAAAAATTAGGATCAACAAAGCCAGCAAAAGGCAACAAAAATGTAACATTGAAAGATTAATTGAAAAAATTAGTTTCATTAAAAAAATAGAGTCAGCAGAGGCCCTAATTATACCTATTATGAACATTTCCTTAACAAGTCCAGATTTATTGACTGTGCAGTAAAGTTGTATTAAAGGAAGCCTTGAAACTCCTTTTTCCCATTGTTTTTCTATTTTTAAAGCCCTTGGCTACTCTGTGTCAGAAAATAAGAAATAATTACATTTATTCAAATTCCTTGATAGAATACCAAAGCCTGCTCAGCTGAATACCTCTCCTAAATGAACACCATTACCAATAGATCAAAGGATAAAAACGTCTAGCAAATGAGCACGTCTGAGGGAATTAATAAAACACACATCAAATGGTGAAAAGCTGAAGGGTTTGGTTTTGGGGCTTTTTTTTGGGGGGGGGGGGGTGGGTTTTTGGGGGTTTTTGTGTATTTGGTAGGGGTTTTTTTGTTGTTGTTGTTTTGGGGTTTTTTAGTGGGAGCACATTTGCTGAGTGATAAAGTCTGCAGTCACCAAAATCCACGGAAAAGGCACCTCCAATAAAGAGCGTGACAGATGAAGTTCAGCATCAGGCGATTTCTGGAGCTGCTGCTGCAGATCTTTCACCTGACAAGCCCTCACAGAGAAATGTGTGGGGTTTGGAGTATGTGTTTTTTTTTTTTTTTTTTCACAGAATCACAAAATTTTTACGGTTTGAAGAGACCTCTGGAAATCATCCAGTCCAGCCCCCGTGCCAAGGCAGGGTCCCCTGGAGCAGGTGGGATTGGAATGTCTCCAGAGAAGGAGACTGCACAACCTTTCTGGGCCAGCCTAAGCGCTCTGCCGTCCTCAGCGTAAAGCACCTTGGTTTTTCCCCTAAGGTTAAAGTTTCCTTTCCTATCGGAAAAACTTTTCACTCGGCCGGGGACACGAGCGGCTCCCGGGGCGGGTGTCGGGCTCCCAGCGGGCTCGGGCGGGCTCGGCTCCCGCGGCCGCTCCGCGCTCGCTGTCCGGCCCCGGGCCCTCATGCGGGGCCCGCCCCAGCCCGGTACCCTCTGCCGCGGCCGCGGAGCCGCCGGGGCTCGGCCAAGCGCTGCACATCGCCCGCCTTCCTTTCTCTTCCCTTCCCGTCCCTTCCGGCGGGGCGGGCGCTCGGTGCCATGGGGCGGCGGTGGCAGCTGGCGGCGGCGGAGCAGCTGGCGGGGACCTGCCCGGGACAGGCGCGATTCCTGCTGTAAGGAACCGCGGCGGGGCGGGGACGGGCGGTGCGGGAGCCCGGCGGCGAGGCGCGGGATGTCCCCGCCCGTGCCCGCGGCCGCGCCCTGACGCTTTCCCTCTCTCCCGCAGGTGGATGCTCCGCAACTCCCGAGGCGAGTGAGGCGCCCCGGGCGCAGGCGGTGGAGCGGGGCCGGAGGAGGGGGCTCCGGAGCCGGGCAGCGGAGGCTCGTGCCGTGGGAGAGCAGCGGAAGGACAGGAGCGTGGGGATGAGTGCCCGCTCGCCCTTTGCCTCCCTTTTCCCCGTGCCCCTGCGCTGCCGGCAGCAGTGGCGAGCTCGCCGGGAAGTGGGGCCAGGTGTCCCAGGGGCTTTAGGGAGAGGCGCCCGAATCCAGCTCCGGCAGCAGGAGATGATGAGGCAGATGCCAGGAGCGAGCCTCTTGTTGGGTCTGAAATTTATCTCAAAGAGTTTCCTCGTTTTAGCCTGAGATCGTGTCATTTTCTCACACTTAAAATGGGCAAAGAGCTTTACAAGGCCTTGGTGACCCTGATGTGGTAGACGATTGTAACTAAGTGGAACTCTTTACAGAATTGTGAGCCTCTAGAAATTTTTGGGAAGGGATTAAAATTTTTCAAGAAAATCTACAGTTACATATTGTGAAAACTTGTGCCATGCGTTAACTTCCTCTGAATTGTGCTCAGCTGAGCACATTCTGGTGCTCAGCTTCCTCTTGTGTTCTAGTGGCATCTTAAACACAAAAACATATACCTAGGTAATGTTAAAATTGAAACACACAATTTTAAAGTTTGCTTATAGAACATAGTTATTTTATCCTTTTGCTTTTATTTATCTGTAGGTGACGAACGTGGATTAGAAAGGATATGTCCTTACTGCTTCCAGTTCCTGGTTCCTGACAGCTACCGAGTGCGCCTCAAACCAAAGATGAAAGTGACTCCACAGATAGAGAAGGTTCTTAAACGAGAGGCAAAGAATCATAAGCTTAACATGAAACAGACAAAGCTTTTGAGAAAGTACAGGGAGTCAAGAAGCATTCTGGTAAGGACAGTTATTTGGAACTGGCATGTACATGACATTTCCCTAAATTTCATGTTCCTATTTCAGTGGCAAAAAAAGAAGATACAGAAACCTTTCTCTTAGAAGAGGAGCCCACACATTTCTTTTTCACAGGCATAAGACTCTTCCTTTCTTTTTTTGGAATAATTTTTATGCATAAATGACATTTTAAAAATCTATCTTCCACAATAGATAGATCATGAACACAGGAACAGTAAGCTTTTCTTGTCGAAAAAAATACCTTATGACCCCACATATTAGAGAAGCTACACAAACATCTCATTTACTGCCTTTGTTTCAATTTATCTCTTGTTGAACAAATGTTTTGACACAAGCTTTACTTCTTGTATTTCACTAGCCTCTCGTGGCTTCATCAGATTATTATTGCCATCTATATTGTATTAATAGAATTTTTTACTTTTGTCTGAATGTTACTGCTTATAGAAACTCTCTTAAAAGTACACTACAGAGGTAATTTCAACAAGTTGATGTTTTTCTTGAGGCCTGAGTTATTTTTCCTAAAAGCACTCAGGAATGTGACATTTAATTACTATTGGAAGAGTAATAGTAAACATTTTACCTAGTGTTGCCAAGGTATGTACTGTTTTTAAAACAGGTTATGTATGTATTTAAAAACAGTATGTACTTTTAAAACAGGTTGTTGTAATAAATGAGACAGCACCCTATTGTGCCCAGCAGTTGCTGGCACACTTGGAATTTTCTTGGATAAGAGTCTGGTGGTTACAGGAGTAAATTTTGTGAAACCAAAAATGATTAAAGAGTCAATTAAAAATTTTAAACTGAGGAATATATCACCAAGGGTTTTGGCTGTCAGAGCAAAATAAGAGGCTTCATAAAGGCACTCTCCCCAAATTGTAGATCGAAGTTGAGCTTCAGAAAGGACATCTGAAAAGGTTCTTCACCCAGAGGGTGGTTGGGCACTGGAACAGCCTCCCCAGGGAAGGGGTCACAGCACCAACACTGGCAGGAGTTCAAGAAGCATTGGGACAACACTCTCAGGCACATGCTGTGATTCTTGGCATGTCCTGTGCTGGGCCAGGAGTGGAAATTTGATGATGCCTGTGGGTCCCTTCCAGCTCAAGAGGTTCTGTGGTTCTTCAAGTGGAAATGCTTGCTTTATTTTTCTGGTGTCACTAATGTTGAGGGTACATTAAGAACTGTCCCTTTAAGCACCTGATGAACAGAGCAGTGTCCTATGAAATGATGATGGGCTCTTAGACTTTCTGTGTAGCTGGAGAGTGTTTGTTGGGGACACACTGTGCATTCATGTGAGTAGTTTAAAATTCAGTTTAAATAGGTCCAGTTTAAACTCTGGGTAATATTTTGATCTTGGTATGTAATTACAGTTTGCTGTACTTGTGTTTTGTTCAGTTTGAATTTGTCCTGTGGATTATGATTTAAGTGTTTCTTGTCTTAAGTCTTTAAAAATGCTGTCAGCAACTGGCAGCTTTCAAATTAGCAATGTAGATCCCTGTAATCTAATACCTGAGGCTTGTGCAAATGAAAATTCCAGTGTGGTTGGAAATTAATGTGAGCAATAATGTGACAGGTTGAACCTCTGAGAACTTTCTTAGCAAGTAGAACTTGATTTTAGATTGCTTCTGTCATAAAAAGGCATGTAACATAGGGACTGTTTCAAGGCTTTAAAAATTTTTGAAGTGAACTGCTGATCCATTTCAGGGAATGGAAATTAGCTGCGAAGTGCTATGATTAATCCAGTAATTCCTTCATTGTAAAGTGGTCACCTCCATTTATATTCCACGCAGTGCTAAGTCACCATGAAATGCTGAGTTTGTTTCCCACCTGAATTTAATTTAGAAGAACTAAAAATACATTAGTACCTGAGCATTAAAATAGTTAATGCTATTTCTTTTTTTTTAGTTTGTTAGGCTGACAAAATACAATGTCTAGAGGAAGTCAAAACACTTAACTAAAAATGTTTCACTTCAGCATCTCTAAATGTAATTTTTAATAAACTATCTGAATTTATACACTTTGAAATGAAGAATGATGTGGTGTAGATGTTTTCAAAACTGCTTAGACATTTTTGTGACAGTCTTTTGAGTATGTTATTTTTAACCAGAAGCGTCACATAACTGTTTTTCTGTCAGTCTAATTGGTGCCTCAGAAAGCTGTCTGGCTGTATTACTTTCATATCTCTTAGTATGAGTAGTTGCCATGGCAGTAAGGGATATCAGGAATGCCTGACAGCCTCTGACTGGGTGATGTGATCAGTTCTGATGCACCTCTCAGCCTGGTGTGCTGCTGAAGTTCCCCGCAGCCTAGAGGTACACAGAGAGAAGAGAAAGTGCCCTTTGTTTCGAACATCCTCCTTATTGTAGTAAGTACTTTTGCCCTAATACAAAGCCTTGTCTTTGTTCACTGAGACTTGCTGTTTTTGGTAAAATGGATGACTGGGTTTGAGAGTTTGGTAGTTTAAATATTTTATCCCAAGATTCCCTGAAAAGTGTGCAATATAACTTCATTGGGGGTAGAATATGCTAATGAATTTAGATGGCACAGAATGTCACATTTTTTAGCCAGATTCCCAATGTATAGGAATACTCCAGTATACTCAGTATGTCTTGTACACTCAGAATATGATTTGCCCAGTTCAGGTGCTGTGTCATGCCTTGACAGTGCTGTTCTCTGTATTTCACTGTACAATATTACATTCAGCAGTATGGGTCTCCGGAAATTAGTTTGTAGGGAATTGGAGTAATCTCTAGATAAACCCAAAGGACTTGTTTGGCTTAAGAAGCCTGAATTAAAATATGAGTTACAAAATGTATCTTTGTACTTTTTAGTATCTCATGTTTCACTTAAGCAAATATTTAATTTGTGTCATGGTATTTGTAGAACAGTTTGGATAATTCTTCTAATGGCTTTATAACATAAAGGTGGAAAGACTGAAACACAGCTTGATACTTCCTTTCTTCTCTCCACAGCTGGTTACTTGCAAATCTTGCAACAAAACAACAAGATACTATGGTAAAAGCAGGGATTTTCTGGCAGCCAAAACACAAAATTGTGGCACTCCAGATATCAAATCTAGCCTGAAGACACCAGATGTAAAAATTCAGTCTGCAAAGAAAATGACACCTGCAAGCTGTAGTAGGTTGGGATCGAAAGGGAACACTCCCTCATCCCTTTCCAGGTACCTGTTTCTTTCCTATTTAAAGCAGACCTTTGCCAAGTAGAGTGTATTAAATCCTGTTTATTTTACATCAGTCATTTAATAAAGTTTAAATTGATAACTTAGTGTGTTTCTCATTTGGTATGGTTGAAGAGATCAATTTTAACTTTCTCACCTTTAAAATCAAAGATTCTCATGAAAAGCCACTGTGTGCAAAGAATGCCCAGTTACATTTGTGTCTTTAATACACTTTAATGTCTGTCCTAAAATTTGCATGACAAACAATTCTGACTGCTCACCTGCACATAAAAATACACGATTTCTCTTGGATATTTTTCACTCAAATTATATATGTGTGCTTTCACAGTTGCTTTATGTTAATTCTGATTTCTCCCCGTTAAGACATGTGAATCTTTTGTTTTTCAGGACACGTGAATCTGGACAGACAACAACCAACTCTACTTCCAAGACTCCCCGAAATTCCAAATTTCACTTTTCTAAGCTAAAACGGATGCTTGACCTAGAAGAAAAAGAGAAAAACCAGAAGGCAGATTTCAAAACCTTCTTGACTTTACTTTAGTTATATATTATTTCAAAGTAATAAAGATTATAGCAATAAATTTGCTCCAGTTTTAGTAAATCAACAAAGTGATTTCTTTCAAACGCAAGCTAACGTCCTGTACCTTGTGGAAGCATAGACCATATTTTTTAGAAGAAAGGTCTGTTTTTAAGGGGAGTGATAGTCTGCCAGAGGGAGATGTAAAGATAGCCAGTTTAATATGCTTGGGAATCTTGAACATGTTTTGCAGTTTCTGATGCCCCAAGAATTAAAAGCCAGAATTTATCCTTTGAGCAAGCTGATGATGACCCCATCAGGACCATTTAATTGTCAAGATTAAAGATTTTCAATTTATGTTTGGCAAGAGATGAGAGGAGAAAGTATAAAGTCCCTGTTCAGGACTGAGGTTATAGCCTGTCCTGCATACAGTCTGCAGTGAAAGTTCTGTGGATGGTGCTTCATATTCGCCCCTGAGAAATAGAGCCAATTAGTTAAAATCACTTACTTTCTTGGATTTAAAGGTCTGTATTTTCCTTTTTCTTTTGCTAGTTTAATGAATAGTTTACTTTAAGTGCCTTCAGACTCAGTGAACACTGCTTAAGAAATAGGACCAGCAAATAACTTGGTGGACTGGGAAGCAGTCCAGGGCAGGGGAGAAGAGTTTGTTGTAAACTGTACTTAAGAGTCTCAGAGATTGGCATATAAGCTTTTTATATCTCCTGTACACTTGCACAATAACTGAAGGATGCACTGCTCATTGTCTCCTATGTACGTGTAGGATAAAATGAACTGCCACTCTTTAATCAAAATACAAACCTTGGAGTGTTGCCTTTTCCAGTGTAGAACTTGGCATTAATTAATCTGTTGCTGTACTTACAATCCAGTCCTCTGGAAAAATACTTCATTTTGTTGATGGAAAACATTCATTGCACAAAAGTGTTTGAAAATACAAATTTTGCACTAAATTTTCCCATTAAAAGTACACACATTAGGTACTGCTGTGCTTCCCGTGAGGCCAATGTGAAACCTGCACAGGCATCTGCTGTGTTTTAAGGTGCCCCAATGTGTTTGTTAGATCAAAGCACATTTCCCCATTGTCCCTGTTTACAGTGCTTTTTACACATCCTGTGGTCTCAGGAGCATATTCTTTTTAGATAAAACTGCAGAGAAGGGATAAAAGACATGAAGCGGGGAGTACAACCAGTGTGCAGAGAAAGCTAATGGGTGATCTATCCACAGGATCACAGGAGAGCTTGTCTAAACTATGCATTTCCAAAAATGTTTTGTGGGTGGTAGGCACTGAGCTACAGGCATTCTGAACACCAAGTGTTGTTACCTTTGCAGCACACTTTGTTAGCAGAGATAGAGCCTTGTCATGCTCCAAACAACATATTTTTTTTCCTTTGGAATTACCAGAGTTATCAGATACATCAAGATGTGATGTTAAAAGGGATTGTTATTGTGAGCTATTAGACTTTATTCTGGGAACAAAGGGAAAGAAGTCATTCAGTACGTGCCTTTTCTTGTTTTACAAGTGTACTTCAAAATGCTGGGTAGAAATTATCTCCAGTGCTTTTACATTACTCCTAGGCCTTTAACAGAGTGTTTTTTCTGTTAACTGGACTTTCACAGAATTGCTCAGAAAGACAGACACACATACCTATAAACACATCTCTATGCATAGTATATGTAGGTATATACATACCCACATATCAGAGGCTGGTATGCAAACACGTACTACATACGTGCACGTCATGCACTCTTCCCTTCAGGACACATTACCTTCCTGTACTTGATGAAACACTGAAGGCTGTGGCTGTGAGAGACTTGCTGAGCTCCCCTCCAAGCCACTGCCAGGCCACATTACTGGCTTGTGTTTGAAGAGCTGGAAGAACAACTCAAGAGAGGAAATGCCTTCACTGATTTCAGAGAGACTTTGTAAAGTAAGAGCAAGGTCTTCTTTAAGCATACAGCCCTGCAAAGAAGCATTTGATTAGAGACTGGGAGTTATTTCCCAGCTCAGACAGATTCTACTGGGCAAAGGTACGTGTATCACTGGCAGTTCTCGTACCACACTGAAAATTTACAAAATGTGTTTTAAAATAACCAGCTCAACTAAATTTACAGTTCTAGAAATAGAACCTCAGACCCTTTAATACACTGCTTTCTCACCGAAAACTGTCACACAAAATACAGGGAATAATAAACCTTGAAATTAGTATCAAGCATTTCCTCAGCATCACCACTGAGATGAGATCGTGGCTGCCTCCTGAGTACAGGGAACAGCTGACATTAAAGCCATTTCCCACCATGAGACTGAGAAGGCAAGCAGGGAACAATAATTTTCAAAGATGTTTTTACAACAATGTTTTATTAAATATGAAAGAGCGTACATACAGGTGTAATTCTGAGGACATAAATTACACAAGGATTACAGGTTCTGTCAGAAAAGCACAATAATGAAACATTACATTTCAAACTTTTCTTGTTAGCTTTTAACAAATAAGTCTATTTCTGTTGCAAACAAGTAATGAGTGCTATTGAACTTTTGCAAATTCCCACAAAAACATCATGCTTAGTAGGATACTTCAACTATTGTAAATATGAAGTCAGAATTAGATTCCTAAATAACACGATGGAAGAGATTTACTACTTAATCAAGATAAATGACACACTGAAATAGGAGCCGAGACAAAATTGGTCATTCATTAGAAAAAAATTCCACTTCAGACACTATGTTTGAGTCTGCTTTCTTTACTTGCAGGAATAATCACTGTGATTAAATGTAATGAGCAGATAAACTGGCCTAAATATTTGTAAATGTAACCATCAAATTTTAGACGTGCTGGTTTTCACTGATTTTTCCACTGAAAAAACCCCACACCCACAGATCTATTTCCTTACATTTCAAAAGGCTCTTCTGCAGAAGGCCAACCAAGCCTCCGTATGATTTCCACGTCCTCCATGGTCATTGCACTGCTGGCTACTGCTTCCTACATATGTACATCCCACCTATGTGTTCAGGGTCATCATTGAAGTACCAGACTGAGTTACCACTGAGATGTGAGAGCAGAACTACTCTGTGCAAGTTTTAACACAATGGTTTTTTTAAAACTTCAGGTAAGCAGGAATGTAATTTCATCATAATGAAAGCTCTCAATTTGACACTCAGAAGACTAGTCGGATAAAATACATAATAAGCATGTGGTTTGGGTTGTGTTGCTAGGGATTAACAGAGGTGCTTTAATATATTAATACAAACATTAAGAGAGTGAATCAGACAAACTGGTATTACTGCAGGCTGTAGTCTAATTTCCAAAAGAAGTCATGAAACATAATTTCTAAGAATGGCAATTTTTGTAACTAAGGACTTCACATTTATTTTTAAACCCACAAAAGTGGGGTAGTATTCCTGATATCTTTCAAAACATTCTGCAAAAAACACAGTTTGAGCCTGCAAACACTAGAATATACATACAAGCAGTCCCAGTGACCTCCAAGGTAAGCATTCTCATATGGCAAAGTGTTGCAGGAATATCTTTGCTTTTTTTCAGAGAATGCTTAATAAAAGTGCAATATAGTGAAGCAAATAATCTAATTATTATGCCTTTATTATTAGATGAAAAATATTCAGATATTTTATAATTGTGCCTTTTGCAGGGCAGGCATTCTGCATTGCCTAGAGCCAGACCACAATAGAAGAGGTAGGCAGGGCATGCCCACACATTTTCTTTCCCAGGATGGCAACACCCCAAAGCAGTTCTGTGGTACAACCCCACCTACAGATAAAACACTGTGCTGCCCAGTCTCACAGTTATTTCTGTTTTGACAGAAGCTGACATGTGGTTTGCTTTACCTTTCCACCCAGGCATGTTCTCCCTTTTGTCTCCTCGGCACCCTACTCTTCCCCACACAGCCTCTTTTCTTCCTGAGATGTCAGAAGTACGTACATTAAGCTTTGGAACCTGAGAATTTGGAGGTATTTTTTGACACTACAGGGCTGCATCTGTACTGTACCATGCTATCTCCCACTATACTATTACAGTTACAGTATAAATCTCCTAACTACTTGATACCCAATGCCTTTCCCATATAAATAAAAAAACCCCAGCGTACCATTCAGCCACTAATATATGACACTTGCTCTAAGAGTGACCTTAGCCTTTCACAAGCCCTCTTTTCAAAACAAATATCGAGGGATCATTTCCAAAACCCCAGCTATGAAAAACTCCTTGAAGTAAACCATTTCACAGTAAAACAAGGAAAAATATATCTAAAAAATAACTCTCAAAAGTAAAACTTATATACAGCAAGAAAAAGTTGAGTTTTTTTCCTCACTCTTTTATCAGTTCTACATTAACTACAGATAAGCAATGTTATCACTAGGAGTTATGAATAGGAAAAACAAATCCAGTGAAGTGTCATGGTTTTTTAAAACCTTTGAGAGATCAAGAAAATTCAGCAGTCAACTTTATTATTATAACTAATTTCAATTCAGGCAGCAAAAGATTGTTTAAGCTTAATTCCCTATGATTCTGAGTAACCAATATAGATCTTTCAGTGCAGTGTAATAAGCCTTGTCACTGTACTTATAATCACCTCTGGGCACAAATTAAGTTTTCTATGGATGGAATTCAACCATGAACTCACTATTTATGCCTCTTGTTTTATGATTTGTTTTAGAATTCCTAATAGATGATTAAGCTGGTTTCATATTTACCACAAATTTGGTGCTATTCTTTAGCAAAACTGAGCTTTAACTGCAACTGCAATGCACATACATGTGTGTAAGAATTTATGTGAAGAGTTTAACATACTAGAACAGAAATATTTAAAACATTAAAATTGTATCAGAACATTTTCTTATCAACAATCTACACTGAAAGTGTTATTCAATTTTGCATATTACACTTAAACTAAAGAAACTAATCCTCTGGATTCAATATAGTCAGCTTTTTTGTCCTATGGAATGGAAAATTGCCACTCAAAACCTTGAAATTTTGGACCTGTAGTGAGCTCTGATAACTATTTTGTGCACTCCTATTTATCAGTCAGAATTTTTTAGAAAATCAGTAT